GACAGTACAAACCTTTACTACATCACCAATACAGTACTACATGTTCACTACAACAAGACAGTACAAACCTTTACTACAACACCAATACAGTACTACATGTTCACTACAACAAGACAGTACAAACCTTTACTACATCACCAATACAGTACTACATGTTCACTACAACAAGACAGTACAAACCTTTACTACATCACCAATACAGTACCACATGTTCACAACAACACTAGTACTACATGTTCACTACAACAAGACAGTACAATCCTTTACTACAACACCAATACAGTACCACATGTTCACTACAACAAGACAGTACAAACCTTTACTACAACACCAATACAGTACTACATGTTCACTACAACAAGACAGTACAAACCTTTACTACATCACCAATACAGTACTACATGTTCACTACAACAAGACAGTACAAACCTTTACTACAACACCAATACAGTACTACATGTTCACTACAACAAGACAGTACAAACCTTTACTACAACACCAATACAGTACTACATGTTCACTACAACAAGACAGTACAAACCTTTACTACAACACCAATACAGTACTACATGTTCACTACAACAAGACAGTACAAACCTTTACTACAACACCAATACAGTACCACATGTTCACTACAACAAGACAGTACAAACCTTTACTCACAATACAGTACTACATGTTCACTACAACAAGACAGTACAGTACTACATGTTCACTACAACAAGACAGTACAAACCTTTACTACAACACCAATACAGTACTACATGTTCACTACAACAAGACAGTACAAACCTTTACTACAACACCAATACAGTACTACATGTTCACTACAACAAGACAGTACAAACCTTTACTACAACACCAATACAGTACCACATGTTCACTACAACAAGACAGTACAAACCTTTACTACATCACCAATACAGTACCACATGTTCACTACAACACTAGTACTACATGCTCACCACAACACTAGTACTACATGTTCACTACAACACTAGTACTACATGCTCACTACAACACTAGTACTACATGTTCACTACAACACTAGTACTACATGTTCACTACAACACTAGTATCACATGTTCACTACAACACTAGTACTACATGTTCACTACAACACTAGTACTACATGTTCACTACTACACTAGTGCTACATGCTCAGTACAACACTAGTACTACATGTTCACTACAACACTAGTATCACATGTTCACTAGTACTACATGTTCACTACAACACTAGTGCTACATGCTCACTACAACACTAATACTACATGTTCACTATAATACTAATACTACATGTTCACTACAACACTAGTCCCACATGTTCACTAGTACTACATGTTCACTACAGCACTAGTACATGCTCACAAAACTAGTACTACATGTTCACTACAACACTAGTACTACATGCTCACTACAACACTAGTACTACATGTTCACTACAACACTAGTACTACATGTTCACTACTACACTAGTGCTACATGCTCAGTACAACACTAGTACTACATGTTCACTACAACACTAGTATCACATGTTCACTAGTACTACATGTTCACTACAACACTAGTGCTACATGCTCACTACAACACTAATACTACATGTTCACTATAATACTAATACTACATGTTCACTACAACACTAGTCCCACATGTTCACTAGTACTACATGTTCACTACAGCACTAGTACTACATGCTCACAAAACTAGTACTACATGTTCACTACAACACTAGTATTACATGCTCACAACACTAGTACTACATGTTCACTACAACACTAGTACCACATGTTCACTAGTACTACATGTTCACTACAACACTAGTGCTACATGCTCACTACAACACTAATACTACATGTTCACTATAACACTAATACTACATGTTCACTACAACACTAGTACCACATGTTCACTAGTACTACATGTTCACTACGACACTAGTGCTACATGCTCACTACAACACTAGTACTACATGTTCACTACAGCACTAGTACTACATGTTCACTACAGCACTAGTACTACATGCTCACAACAACATTAGCATTATGTGTTCACTACAACAAGACAGTACAAACAATTACTTCAGCACCAATACAGTACCACATGTTCACTACAATACTAGTACTACATGTTCACTACAACACTAGTACTACATGTTCACTACAACACTAGTCCTTTATGGTCACTACAATACAAATCTTTACTACAGCACCATTACAGTACTACAAGCTCACTACAACACCAGCACTACATGGGCACTACAGTACAAACATTTACTTCAGCACCAATACAGTACTACATGTTCACTACAACACTAGTATTCATGTTCACTATAACACTAGTACTTTATGGTCACTACAACACTACAGTACAAACCTTTACTACAACACTATTACAGTACTACATGTTCACTACAACACCAATACTATTTCTCCCTTCTATAATGAGTTACACCATTTGACGTCAACATTCCAACCTGTTTAAGTTTTTGTTGCCGGATCTCAGAGTTATACCTGTGTGCAAGTCAACAAGCTAAAGTAATTACTGTTCTAAACACTCAAAAATGTTTTCTCTATTTTCAAATTGTTTTTCCGCAAGCTCAAAAACGAGTCCACCCATAATAGTAACTCAAGATGAGTTATGCGAAATAATAAAGCAAAGTAGGGTGCGACATTTTCTCGGGGAGGGAGAGGTCGGGATTGTCCATTTGTTTGAATTAGACGGTTTACTGGTGTGTTGTAAAAGGGCCAAGGATGAATTTACTTCCTTGCTGGACGAGCAAAAAGTCCTTATGGAGTTAAACGGTGCTGGAGGCGCCCCGCTAGTTCTTTACCAATGTAAGGATTTCCCGGCATACGTAATGACGTATACACGGGGTCAACTGTTCATGGAGTATGCCAAACAATGCTCCCAGGACCAGTTCATTGGAAGTCTTATCGCTCTCTTCAAGAGTTTAAACGAAATTCACCAGGCTGGTTTTCTTCATGGGGATATCAAGGGAAACAACTTGTATGTGGAGGAAAATGAAAATGGGGACATCGAGGTCCATATGATTGACTTCGGTAACTCCTTAAAAATTGGCACTCCACAATTAAAACATTCGTCCATTAATGAGTTCCATGCCCCAGAACTCTTTCACTCTGGCGTCACAGCTGAAGCGTCCGCGGATGTATATGCAGTGGGTAAGTTGATCGATTGGTTCCTAGTTGAACGACGGCACTTGCCCTCTGTGTTGTACGAAATCGCCTTTAGCATGATTAACCCCGAGGCCCACCATCGCCCTTCAATCGAAGAGGTTTTGGAAAGGTTGACCCTCTATACAACTTCCACTGACGAGCAAGTGAAGGACGACCACAAAGTAGACAACACGGGTGAGGGCGACTCAACGGGCTCTACCACCACTGTGCCACGCCGGCGCTGGGGTGTAGTCCGTTGTTGTCTTTACACCCTAATCATACTATTTGTAATTTGTATCACCATGGGCCTCCTTCTCAAATACGAGGATGAAAGTGACTGCATGATGTTCCAAGAAAGGATAAAAGAACACTACGCCAGTTCATTTATGTTGAGACGACTCATAAATGACCGCTTAGAGCGTCTCGGTGTAGGGTTTAAGTTAACCTTGCGAGACCCCCCGACACTTATGTGCCACGCCCCACTACACGGGGCTGTGTCGTGGTTTAGGGGCTGATTAAGGGGACTTTATGTATTGTAAATAAATAATACAAAGACAACAGTACTTTTAATTGCCTTTAATATTGTTACTCTGAATATGTCAGACTCTTTTGTAGATTTAAATTCTTATGACAGAAAAAATAACCCACCGACAGGAAACTAATTCTTCCACATTCACATTGACGATAACTTAAATTATATGAATTCTTGCAATACATTGTTTTCACAATAAGAAATATATACTTACCGTGAAATGCTAGAACGGCACACGAATTAGCCGAATAAACGATCGCTGAGCTCGTCAAGACTGGTTTCCCGGTGAAGTAGTCTGACCGGCCGGTTAAGTAGCCGCATCTAATTTCGTACGTATAACTAAGTGATAAATTCTCAAAAGTTGGTTGGCTTGAAATTTTCACGATTTGGTGACATGAAAATGTGAGTAAAAAGTTTGTTTTGTTGGTACAAAATGTTGATAATCCTTCGGTGCGGATAATTAAGTTAGAGGGGGTCATAAATGGACAATTATGACACAAAATACGGATATTATCCTCCGCTGCGACATAATTGAAAAGGTGCAATAATTGTGTACTGTACACTAATGATACTAATTATCTTTATTATACAGACATAGATAAAAATGAAGAGATTGATGTATAAACAGATAGACCCATGAATACATAAGAGAGAGAGAGAGAGTGTCCGGTGTAGGAGGGGCAGGTGTTGGAATGGTCATCCCCCACCTCCCCACTCTTCTCTTCTCCCTCCGTGATTACAACTTTATATTTTGTTCACTCCGTTAATTCAACACTCACGCTCACCTAACCCTACAGGTATCGTTAGGGCGTTTAATCTTAAAGGGAAATAACCTGGGGTTAATCTTCAGATGATCCAAGTTAAATATTTTAATTTGTTCTTAAACTTAATCTAACCAAGTCATAACCTGTCCACAACGCTCAATGTTAAGTAATGCCCACATAACACAGTACAGCCTCTATACTAGTAACTTCAAACGCATGTATACTCGGTGGAGGCTGACTAGGCTATGTACCGAAAGAGTTGCCTAGTCCCGCAAAACAGCTCATGTCACATTTCGCGGTAGACTTTCAAGTGACCATTAACTGTCCAAACTAGTACATTTTAACAAGTTTACGTGGCCCATATTCGTGTATTTTCGGAAATAAATTATTTATTTTTGGACGTAAGTGAAAATTTTGTACAATGAACGAAGAAGAAATTCATTTGCATGTTATTTTTTTTTTTTTTTTAGTGATGTGAAGTGGCAACATAAAATGAGTGCAAGATGGTGGTGGTAGTGGTGGTGTAGAAGTACTAGCCTAGCGTGCGAGAAGACTGTGCCACTCCCCTCGCCCACAGCCTCAACTACAAACATCCAACCAGCTAATCCAAAAACCCAATTCGACCTTCTCACTTTCAGGGTCAAAATTTTAACCTGTTGGAAGTTTATAAAGCGTAGATATCTAGCTTTGGATTTTAGTCGTGTCTGAGGTGATTTTGTACGGGAAAAAAACTGGAGGAAATTTATCGAGTGAAAACAATCTCGTGAAATTTTGCAGAGTGGAATATTTTAGTATTTTGTCCAGTGGAAAGTTACGTGGTGGGATTTTGTTCAGTGAAAAGCATCTTGTGGCAGCTGTATTAGTAAGATTTTGTGGTGGAAGGGATGTGTGGAGTAATGTGGTTGTGGTTGTGGCTGTGGTGGTGTGTTGGAGCTGCTGCCACCCCAGTCAACCAGTCTAAAGGCTTACAAGGAGACGTACCACTGTCACAGATGGTCAAGATGGTACAGCAACAACAGCAGGTGGTACACGGTCAGTAACTAGTACAGACAATTACTGTACTTTATCGTCTCCCGTCAGCCTCAAGGGCAATCGGTCACGTCTCTGTTACGCACTTTTGGCAAGTACTGTACTGGACCTGTTCTGGCTTCTGAATGTATCTGTACCTTCGCAGTGTTGGTCAAGTCTGGTCTTGAAAGCGCTCACACTCGGTGCCGTCACAGCACACACTGGCAGATTGTGCCAAGAGTTCACACATCTCACTCCGAAAAATTTGCTCTGACAGTTTTCTGAACTTCTGACTTCTTCAGGTATGAACTCTCGGCTGAATATTGCCCTCTGAAATGTTTATATTCACTTAAGTCACTCATTGCCCGCCTATAATATAAGTCAAGCAATTGCAGGTGTAATAATCTTTCTGGGTAACTGAGGCTGCCGTACTGCAGGCACCAGTCTGGTGGTCCTCCTCTGGACATTTTCTATCAACTGAGAGTCTCTAGCATATCTCCGGGACCAGACGGGATGACAGTACTCCATTCCGGGGAGCACCTCACTTTTGATGAGTGTTAAGAGGGACGGACCACCTAGATATCTGAACGACCTTCTAGTTTACTTACATGATTCACTTTCCTTGTCAACATACACACCTAAGTACATCCCCTTGCATTTCGTAATATTGAATCTTAACCATTCATTTAACTATTCCTGAAGGTGATAGAAATCTTCTGTAGCTCTCCACAATCCGTTTGGTTTTTAATTCCCCTGAATAACTTGGCACCGTCCACAAACATTTGAATGGAGAACTGTATAGTTTCTGGCAAGTCATTTATAAAGCTAAGGAACAACAACGGGCCCAGTACATTGCCTTGCGATAGCCCCACTTAACAAGGATCTCTGGAATTTGCCCAAAACAGCCAAATGATTGCACACTATCGTCAGCACCCTACTTACCAAGGGGGACAAGGTTCTACAAATGGATAAACACTTCACTGGGCTCAAATCAGTCCAGTCTACATATCTATAACTAGTTAATGGTCACAATCTCAACACAAGAACGCCACCAGCACATTAAACTTTCAGAACTGGGGTGAAAATCATAAACTCATGGGGTACTCTGCCAGTTAATGTTGTGACAGCACAAAAAGTGAACCCCTCTGAACTCCAGGCTACACCAACACTGGCACATGCTCAGGTGCAGTTGCGAACAAAATTCCCTGGACACTTAGCAGTATCTGGCATGTCATTACTTGGGGTTCATTAGGTGAGAAGGATTAGGATTTGTTTGTATTTATTGATTTTTTTTTTTGTACTGTCGAGTGTTTTTTGTTTGTTTTTGGTTTCAACGTAATATGTGTGATAATAAGCGACATTCATCTACAACAGTCCTGTTGCTTCTCCTCCGAACCACCGACCCCGAGATTTAGACTCGTGAATCCGAAACATATAAAGGTAGACTAATACAACAATACTGCTTTGGGTTCACGAGTCTGAAGCTCGGGGTTCGTGATTCAGGAGGAGAGGCAACAGGACTTTTGTGGGGTGATTGTACAGTACATTCAAGAACATGTTTACGCTTACGATACCATAAAACAGTGTATAAGAGACAACTGCCTAGCTGTTCGACACGCTACTGGCGATTGTTAGCGTCTAAGTAATGTTGGTGCTTGGGTGCCTGTTGCTATCATGTTAGTGCGTGGGTACTGACACCAAGATAATGCTATACTGCTTTGTAACGTATGTCTCTAAACCCATGTCTGTATCATTGTATGTTTGTCTCTATTGTTTGTCTCGTCATTGTTTGTATGTCTGTCTCCCTGTATCTTTTGTTTGTAAGTCAGAGAATCTCATTATATAAATCAACCATCTCTCTTCCCTCACACACTCAGAGATGAATGACGCGCTGATGAGGGTCGACACCCGCACCGAGTTCCTTATCAGACTCATGAGTGAAGGCTTTAACACCCTCACCACCTCCCTCGCCTCAAAACTGGAGCAGGACAAAAATATATCGAGAGGTAGGCATGTGGGGAGAGGGTGTGTTTGAGAGAGAAGGGGAGTCTCTCTCTCTCTCTCTAGCTCTTTTTCCCATGCCTTACTAACTCATTTTCGTTACTTTCAGAGGTCAGACTGGTGTGGCGAGGGATGGAGGAGCTCTGTCATACCTGTGAGTGTCACCCTCAACACCACAAAAGTAAGTCAGCCCCCTAACTCATCCTTACCTATCATCACCATCATCATCCTCATCCACCATCATCATAATCCTTACCTACCATCATCATCATTCCCACCATCATCATCATCCCCACCATCATCCTCAATCTCATGAACTCGTCTTTGGGTCAGTCATTGTATGCAGAGGTGATACACTGCTTAAAAGTCTTCATTGACTCTCGTCTGGGTGTGTAAGCTGTCAGTGTGTAGCTTCTGGTTGTACACCCACTCAATAAACTACCTGTACTCGGGGTGATCGATGAACCCCATAATGAACACTGTGACTCCTGTTGTCTTGGTAGGGTTGTCAAAATCCTTCGTCCATTGTGTCATATTGTCTCAACACTGTTTGATATAGATAGTTTTTTTTAAGTGGCTGTACATGGGTATTAAATTGTCTCTATCCTCTGGTGTTAATATTTCAGCCATCTTTGTTGTTTTGTTATGATTCCCTTCTCTTGAAAACAACAAAAACAAATGAACATCAAATGTCCTATGGTGAAGTGACTTATTTCTTATGCAAGACTTTATACAATATATTTTCTGATAATCAAAGAGTAATTTTAATTTTCCTGCAGATGCTGTTATACAAGACACTGTCTTCCTCAAGAAACTTAACCAACTTGAGAAAGACAATGGGAGCCCAGACGCTAGTATGGTGGGAAATGAAGGAGAAGAGAGATTACTTGAAGAAAAGATCAAGGCTTTAGAGGAAGAAAACATACAGCTGTTAAGAAATAATTCACAACTGGTTGGTGAAATTAACGAAAAGGAAGAAGAATATGAAGAAATACAAGAAGAGAAAAGGAAGCTTGAAGAACTGATCACACAACTGGAAAAGAGCGAGGATATGGAAGCTGACCCTGGGGTAGAACCTTATTTCGAAGTGGAAGACGATAGGACTAATCTTGACTTAACAATAAAACGCCTCATCACAAAAAACAGGAATCTGGAATCTAATAACACGCGCTTGGGTGAGATAATTGACTATAGAGAAGAAGAGAACTTAGAACTAAGGGCAAACATTACGGCACTCCAAGATACACTTTTGGAATTAGATAATATCAGTAGGTTAATAGTGGATAATCTAACACGTGTGGTGGAGGAGTGCGAGACAGTCAAACAGCACATGACACATACACCAGGAGGGGACACGGCACTTCAAGCAAAGGCCAGGACTCTGCAAGAACTCACTCAAAACTTGGCACTAATAAACTCACAGCTGTCACGCGAAAACACCGAAACGGGTAACCAGATAAGAGAGCTCCAGGAGGACAAGAATCTCATGCTGGACAACATCAATAGACTCGAACTGGAGAAGACGCAACTACGAGACAATGTGACTCAGCTGGAGAGCAAATGTCAACAAAGGGACCTAGAGGAGAAGAGACAGCTTAACGAAAGGGTGATGGAGCTGGAGGAAGTCCAATGGAGACTAGAACAAACCAACACACAACTCGGGCAGATGAACGACAAGAACAGGCGACTTGAAGCAACGAAAACATTACTCGAGGAAACTGTCAAGAATATGGTAGAAGACGAAGAGGACCGATGGAATAGACGAGTAGCAGGAGAGAAAGCAGCAGAGGTGAAAAAAATGGAAGAGGAGAACAGAGAACTGGTCATTAATAACACACAAATAAGAGAAGAATTAAGAGAGAGTAAACAGTTATTCAGTGAAACAGACACTGAAAAAAATAACTTTCAGCTTCAGAACATGCAACTACAAGTGGAGAAATGGGAACTGGAGAAGAATCTAACATGGCTGAGACGAGAGAGTGAACGAATACAACAACAATACACTAAATTAGAAGAAGAAAACGATTCATATGAAGATAAATACAATGAGATGGAGAGTTGGAGAGAACAACTTGAAAACGGTAACCAGGTACTTTTGGAGGAGTACGAAGCGAAAGAACAGGAGAACATGGAATTGCTAGAAGAGAACAAGTCACTGGTGGCAAAAGTTCTCCATTTGGAAGAGAACAAATGGCAGCTGGAACTAAGTAACAGTATACTTACACAGGAGAACATGTTCCTCCATGAAAATAACACCAGAGTGAACCACGAGAATGAACTATTGCAGAAGAACACCCACCACCTGACGCAACTTCACTCCCAGTGTGAGATGAATCTGACCAAGCTGCTGAGGTAACATTAATTATTGTTTTGTTTCTGTGACCATCTTTGTTATGATATTTTGAACATATTTTTGATCAAGTGAAGATTAGACACCACAGTTTATTTCACCACGATGCTAACCTAATCTAACCTAACCTACCTTGACCTAAACCAACCCCCAGGTGAGATAAACTAGGGAGCCTAATCTTCAGGTGATCTAATAGAGAGAAACATGATCTGCTTCCTAACTATAACAAACGTTGTCTTACAGCAAACCAAGAGACTGCGCTGAACACTATTGCCTGGGGGCCAGACAAGACGGCATTTACACCATTCATCTACCCAGGTAAGTCTCTCAGTATGTACAAAGGTCACGTAACAAGAAATTCACCAGATATGTAAACACATGAGGTTCTAAACATCTTCGAAAATATATTAGTTATGAGATATTGGGAGCAATTTGTGTTGTGAAGCTTGTGTCACTTATATGTGTTGGTGATACACGTTAACTGTATCACCAGAAGAAAGGCAGATACTCACACAACGCCATATGAGACACACACACGACTGAGCCAAGCCGAGGGAGGGTAGTTGCCTGCCGTCACCAGTGGTCTGCAGCCCACCAGTTTCTTGTACAGTTTAGAGCGAGGAAATGGGTATCTAAGCGGCAGTGCTGTTATGTTATTAAAACCACTGAATATATTTTATGCTCGGGGTCACAGACAAGGGCGTCATATGGAGCCACCCGTAAAGACCATCACCTGCAGTAGTGAACCACCACCTGACAGACCGTACCAATACACTGTAGTTCCCCGAATATGGTCAGTCTTCCCTCCCCATCACTCTGCAACTCACCTCCCTCGCTAACAGATTTGACGAGCTCCGCACCACAGTCAGGTTACTTGCTGCCAACGTTGTTGCCATCAGTGAGGCGTGGCAAATTGTTCCTGAGACTTGCCACATTGAGGGATACCAACTCTTTCAACACCTCCATACACACGGGCATGGTGGGGATGTGGCCCTCTTGTCAGGATGAACTACATCCATTACGTCCATTGCACCTGGATGTTTTAGTCCAGCTGATGTGGAGGCATTAAGAGTACATGTTGTACCATGAGCTCACCCCCACCACACTGCCTCTTATCATATACTATGTGGTATACCACCTGCATCACTCACCCACCAGAGACACTCTTATCCATCACATTCATTACCACCTCAGAGTTAGGTACCCATGTGCCAAGCTGATACTATGCAGGGATTTTGGCAAAACTGACATCACTGATATTGAGGAGCAGCTGCTACTATCACAAGCCATGAACTTCCCTACGTACAGTCAAAACACCCTAGACCTTATCTTAACCGACTTAGCGGACCAGTACCAACCACCTCAACCAAAGCCTATCGGGTGTAGCACACAGACACACCTCTCGGTGTTCAGGCTTCCAACTCCCACCACATACACAGACCCCACATCAAGACCTACAGACCAATTACTGACTCTGCATTGCATCTCTTCGGGCAGTGAATAGTTCAGTATCCCTGGACTGAAGTACTAAGTGTGGATGACGGAGACACCAAATGGACAAATTACATCAACACCACCACTTCTTCCCTGAGAAGTCCGCCAGAATACACCCAACTGACCTGCACTGGACCACACCTCGGATCAAGACTTGTGCCAGAGCCTTTTATCTCAACGAAAACAACAACTATAGTGCCCTTTGCAATAGTCATCCATGAAATATGCACCGCAAAGAAGTCTAACTACCCAACCAAGCTGCAACACCTGAAGCAGACCAACATCAGTCAGTGGTATGGTAAGCTTAAGGAACTCTGTGGTTTAAACCCCACTAATAATGACGCAGCTTAGCAACTAACAATCATTTTCCAACAATTTGCCAGTGACTCCCTCAGCTTGACACAGTGTCTCCCTGCTCCCTTCCCACTGCATTAGTGGAAGAACTCATAAGAGCAAGGCGACTGGACAAACTTAAGATCAAGCATTTCACAATCCCCAATGACCTACCAATGAAACTCTACAAGGAGTTCTCCCCGGAATTAACTAAGCCCCTCTGCTCCATCATCAATGCTTCCCTCAGTCAAGAGATGACCAGCTGACCGGAAGACCCCATGTGTCATAAGTGCCCAAGTTAATGAGCATGTAATCCTTAAACGAGTTACGACCCATTGCCACCACCACAATACCCAGCTGCGAAAGTTTCGTTTTGACTTGGCTTATGCTGATATTACAGGTGCCATAGATCCTCAGCAATTTGGCAACATTAAAACTTCCTCCACTACCCACCGTCTTGTCAGCTTTCTTGACTATATACAGTATCGCCATTTGGAAAAACACAAGACGTCTGTGGCTGTCGCCTTCACTGACTTCACCAAGGCATTCGATTTAGTCAACTACAGTACAATTTAATTATTAACAAAGCCATCGACCTCGGGTTTCGGAGAAGTCTTATACCATGGCTGACAGACTTCCTTGCACAGGTAAATACAACCGTCAAATTTTCCAGCCCCTCAGTACTTACTCATCATTCACACTTCGCAAGTCCACCTACCCTTCCCCTGCCTATAGTCTTCCTCCCTAAATGCCACACAACGGAAACATCTAAAAAAAAATGCAGAAAAGGGCATGTAAGATTATTCTCTCTCCCTCCTATTCCACATATCAAGAAACGCTCAACACACTGACCCTCTCGGCTCTCTCTGATCATCACCACGACCTCATCTGCAAGTTTGGCGAGAAGCTTCTGCACCTCCTCGACACCGGCTCCTGCTTCCACCCAAGATCCCTCGTCCTCTAATTGCTGTTCGACACTACAACTGCATCCAGCCCATACGAGCACGCACTGATCGCTATAAGACCAGCCCAGTCCCAACTATTGTAAAAAGTATCAACAACTCATAGTTAACCAGTGTGTTCACTCCCAGCCAACCTTACCTTTGCACTGTTACTATGTTGAAATACCCTGTAGTATAACCTTCTCCCCACCTTGTCATTATATATCATATTTGTATCACTTATGTTACTTATATATTATTTTTCAATCAAGTGACCCATTTCCCAATTATGTAACTGTATATTTTCAGTCTTTTCGCTGCCATGCTCTTTCAATAAACCGTTAATTATTATTATTATTATTATTTCAATACCCATAATGCACAACTAAACATGCATCCGTACTGACGTTTCTGATACTCACGTCACCAGAAGCCCAATACTGTACCTAAATATGAATATGTTTTATACACTCGTAAATAAACGTTCTCTCTATGTTATTCAAAAATATTTATGATAACTCTCTGCTTGTACTAAATACTATCTACTTGTCCTTCAGAAAAAAAAACTGAATAAATTTCCATCGAATATTTTAAGCCACACATTAGCATAAGTTAGGTTAGGTTAGGTTTCCTTGGTGTGTTAATATGTTACTTGTTACAGTGGTGAGGCGAATGTGTCCGTGTGGTGCGACATGACCACGGACGGCGGTGAGTACCTCAGTGTTCCTCAGAGAACCTCAGTGTTCCTCAGAGTACCTTAGTGTTCCTCATTGTTCCTCAGAATACCTCAATGTTCCCCAGTGTACCTCAATGTTCCTCAGAGTGCCTCAGTGTTCCTCAGAGTACCTTAGTGTTCCTTATTGTTCCTCAGAATACCTCAATGTTCCCCAGGGTACCTCAATGTTCCTCAGAGTGCCTCAATGTTCCTCAGAGTGCCTCAGTGTCCCTCACATTTGTCAAGTAATTACATTTAAGGGTTGGTATTACAATTTAAAGGTTAGTTCTAATGGGCCCCAATTCTAATAGGCCGCAGTTCTAATAGGCCCCAGTTCTAATAGGCCCCAGTTCTATTAGGCCCCAGTTCTAATGGGCCCCAGTGGTAATGGGCGTCAATCCAAATGGCTGAGTTAAGTTAGATTATATTAGACTGAGGTCTCTTACAACTGGGGTTTATTTAATCTGTAACTGCCTATCATTATGTCAAGTTAGGTTAGGTTTGGTTAGGTTAGGTTAGGTTAGGTTAGGTTAATAGGGACAAGGGTCTTATAGAAGTGGGGGTATATCTGATCAGCAGTTGTGTATCACCAGGTGGCTGGACAGTGTTCCTGGCTCGGTCAGAGGGGGAGCAGCAGGAGAACTTTGCCAGGAATTGGAATCTCTATAAACACGGCTTTGGCAAGGCGTCCTCTGAGTACTGGCTGGGTAAGTGTGCATCTCCCCTTCGCCCCTCAAACACACCGATCCCCCCACACGCACACACACTGATCCCCCACACACACACCGGTCTCACCCACACAAACATCCTCGACACCGTTTCCTGCTACCACCCGAGATCCCACGTCCGCGAATTGCTGTTCGACACCACAATCGCATCCAGCCCATACGAGCACGTACTGATCGCTGAAAGAACAGCCCAGTCCCAACCATTGTAAAAATTATCAACAACTCGCAATCAACCAATGTGCTCACTCCCAGCCAATCTTACTTTGGTATTGTTACCATGTTGAAATTCCCTATTGAATGACCCTCCTTTGTTATTGTATATCTTATCTGTACCAATCATATTACTTATTTTTCAAACAAGTGGCCCATTCCCCAAAGGCCACCTAGGCGTGAATTTTTTTAAGGTGTAAAAGCTGTCGCCAACACAACAACCAGACCTTAAGTTAACGAGCTGCATGACCCACTGTCAAGGAATAGTCCGAGAAGACCGGACAACTCGCCAACTGCACTGGCTAACCATTACCCCGTAACACTATCAACAAATCGATTAACATCCAGGTTCCCAATTACTGCTGGGTAGACATATATATTGAAAGGTACTAGAGAAAAAAATAACTCCCTCTCCCGGAAAAGCCTTGTTCATCAGTCAGACAGGAAAGGCGAGCATTAGAGATTAGCCTAGTTATACGCAGCCAGACACTAGCTCTCAAAAGTACACTGTATCTTACTGGCTACAGACGACACTGATTACAAGAACAAACAAACCTTATTAGTTATCCCTTAAACACAGATAAAACATTAAAAACAACTACACACTAAACACTATCAATAAACATAAGACGCTAATGACCACTTATTCTCCCTGATAGGTAACGAAAACATACACTCTCTCACCTCTGCCACGCCCCAGGAGATGCAACTGGACGCCAGGAATTACCACGGGGACACACGCTGGGCTCGCTGGACTACTTTCATTGTTGACTCCGAGAACACGCAGTACGTTCTGTGGACAAAACAAATTCACATGTTATTGTCACATTACCTTTCTTATTTCACATTTCTAATTTAGGTTTTAAAAGTCTGATTTCTGGTGTTGTTTTCCATTCGGGATTCTAATTTGGTTTCTAATTCAGGTTTTAGAGTTATTTTCTGATTGTTAGACATGGGAGGTGTTGCTAAACATGGTAAGAATGTACATGGGGAGATGTTATTACAAATGGACTATGATAACAAATACTTTTAATACACAAGGGATAGACGAGATTAAAATAGAACCGAATTAGGACCTAAAATAGCTAAATTGGGTTTCCTTATAGTCTGCATTGACAATAGGTAAATTATCCCTCGTGCCATCTAGTGGGTGTATTCTAGCAATTACTTAGTGCTTGGTGGTATATCTGCTCAATACCTCAATACATGATTGACTGTAAAGTATTTGAAATACATGTTGGAAAAATAGATGGAAAACAGTTGTAATATTTGGAATGTTAGAAAAAAGGTGAGATTAATTGTTATTTCTTATAATGTCTCAGAAAATAGATTATTATTTGTAATTCTTAAAAAAATAATGCCGCATATTACTGGCTACTGATAATATAGATTACAGTAATGAACACACCGTATTAGTTACCCCGTAAACACAGAGAAAACGATAAAATAACACCATTTTACTATCAATAAACACAAAACACTAATAACCAGTAAAACAGGATATAGTTCTAACATTGTGGTATATGTGTGTTTGTGTATACAGTTACGAGTTAGAAGTGGGTGGATACGTCAACAGCAGTACACTAGGCGACTCACTCACTGGGGATCATCCTCTCCACCGCACCAAGTTCTCCACCAATGATCGAGACAACGATGGGCTCCCCTTCGGTAAGTCCATTGTACTTCCTCAGCCAACCAATTATTTGGCTAATATTAACCCGTTCTGTCTCGATGATAGCTTATTTTTACCTTTTTTTCACAAATATTCACTTTTGATTTCTCTACAAGACAATGATGGCAGAATACCTTTTTACGAGTTCCTTAATACAAGTGTGATAATCAGGACCAAGAAAGTCAAGTTTATCTGGTAATTAATAAACATTCCAAGTTCACACGAGAAACTAGTTTAAAATATTATTAGTGTTATTAGGATTAAAAGCCACCCACTGGGAGGATGTCATACCAACTCGGAATTTTCGTAGTTTTTAAATAATGAAGGACGATAATGGACATCCTTGGGTATGATTATTTGGTCAAAGATTTAAGAACTGTCACATTCCTCAGTTGTATAAAGGAAAATTCCACGTGAACGTTTGATTTAAAGTGAACGTAAAATTAGTACCGGGTATCGCTTGCTACCCCATCACCGAACTCATTAAACGATACGAATGAAGAAATATATCACTATTTAAAGACTATGAAAGACTTTGACTACTGTATGATGATTTAAGAATGTATGTGCAACTTACAGGCTCATGTGTGGAGTTCTTCGCTGGGGGAGGTGGCTGGTGGTACAACTACTGCTCTCACTTGAAGCCCACAGCGCCTCTGGCAGTCGCAGGCCGGAGTGACACGCTAATGGCTGCCTACTGGACCCCGGGATTAATGACTTGGGCCAGACTTAACTGGGTACAGATGAAAATCAGGCCAACCAACTTCCCCACTTGTGACAGTTGATATGTCAGCCTGGCCATGGTATAACGAAGATGGGGATTGATACCAGCGGGTGGGCAGCAAGGAGAAAAATGGAAGTTGATTGTGTTAACACTTGAACGATTCTGGAACAGCTCCTGACATTTTTACTGAAGTACAATAATACTCTACTTAGACTTACCATATTAGTCAATTTCTAGAGGCTATATATTTACAAATCCTTTCCTATTATATTCCATATTATACTGTAGGATAAATGGTAAAAAAAAAAGTAACAATATTTATAATTTTAAGCCTTAATTATTACAACTTACAAATATATATAAGATAGAGGTCTTGAAAAGCATAAATATCAAATAATAGAATTTTTTTTTAACAATGTGATGTATATTATTAGAGAAGCTATTGAATGCAGTGAAATATATCGAAATTAAATGTTTATTATAATTATTTAAACACTATATAAGAAATATGTTTAGTTGTGTATTAAAGTTGGGTGTATATGACCTATATTTAATGAACTGAAAAACCACCCCAAAAAGATGGATTCTATCACTGAGAAATGCAAGGCATAAAGGTAAATAATAATGAAGATATTAGAGATCAATAAAAGAAACTTGCATTGACGAAGCGTAGCATAAGGTATGGTGTGTCTTATACCTGAGACTGTAAGAACAGGGATGTCAGTTTCGCTTTCGCTGATCATTAAAATACTGATGATGGTTTATAGCCAAATATAGTTAAAATTACCAAATGCATATGATTATTAACCTTATTTTCACCGCATATTGGATTAACCATCTAGAGACCAAACTAAAATAATCGTATAAACACATACACACACACCGCAATAATAATAATAATAATAATAATAATAATAATAATAATAATAATAATAATAAATAAAATAGCCACATTAAATACAGATCAGTTGTGCCCATATAAAGGGTGTCAGTGGTTGTCAGCTTGTCATGTGTGGTCAAAACATTGCCTCACCTCACACTGACAGGGTGTATGGGGAGAGGCAATGGCGGTATCTCACCAACCCTAACACTCATCCCACCCCCTCATAACCTAACCTTACACCCACCCCACTCCTCATAACATAACCTAACCTAACACCCACCCCACCCCTCATAACATAACCTAACCTAACACCCACCCCACCCCTCATAACATAACCTAACACCCACCCCACCCCTCATAACATAACCTAACCTTACACCCACCCCACCCCTCATAACCTAACCAATATCCCCCTCATAACCTTAACTATTCCTCAAGAAATCATTCATTTATTTTGGTACGTTTAATGAGTCTCCTGAAATACGAAAACAAATATAACAAATTCATTAGGTCTTTATATAAACGCTGTAATGGACGTTTCGCGTGTGGACATCTGCCCAGGTGAAAACTTATCTGCCTTTCCGTCTGTCTGTCTTTCATTTCGCCTTTCTGTCTGTGTATTCGCCTGTCTGTCTGTGCACTCGCCTGTCTGTCTGTGATTTCTATCTATTTGTAAGGGTGAATGGGGTGTGGGTGATGGTAAGGTGGTGGTGGTGGTATGAGGTAGGTAAGGTAGGTAGGTAGGTAGGTAAGTAGGTAGATAGGTAAGATAGAAGATAGGTAGGGGAGGAGGGAGATAAGGCAGCGTTACCAGAGAACTCCAGTGTTGTGGTAGGCAGTTGGTTGGTAGCGATGACCCAGCCCATGACACCTCTTGCCACAGACACCCACCACACACCACACTCCCGCCACCACAGTCACCACTTAGTTCCTCTCATCACCACAACGAACTATTCTAAGTGAGATAACGTGATTGTAATTGATAGAAAAAAAAAGGAATTTGAAACCTTAATATTCCATGTAATTTACGATATATGAGAACTGTTTAAATTATCGTAAACTATTATTAATTATTGTAAATAAGCTGGAATCTTTTGTTTGCAATTATAGAACGTAATGGATAAATAATCATTGTCTACTATACGCGAATTGCAAACAGACAACAATAATACTCTGTTATTATGATGCGGTGTAGGCAAGTGATATATTGTCTACAACTATAGTATTATAAAAAAATAACCATTGTTTACTTTATATGAATTACAAACAACATTCTAATATTACTTGATGTAGACATTTTATAACCAGTATCACTTACAACCATTTCAAGCTACCACAATCTGCGTGAATTGTGGTACCGCGACGTTTAAAAGCATGTGACTTAAGGAGCTTTGATACATCACAACCTACTACCACCATCACCTGGACTACCACCATTGCTGGGACTATCACTATCGCCAAGGACTACCACTATCGTTTGGACAACCACCATCGCCAAGGCTACCACCATCTCCTGGACTACCACCACTACCACTATTCCCAATAACACCTCTCAACCCCCAGGCGGTAACAGGAAAAACATGCTTCCTAGCCAAGGTATTGTTATAGTACAGGTGTGATGAGTCAGGTGTACAAAACAGGTGACGCAGTACAGGTGTGTGGAGTCAGGTGTAACAAACAGGTGACGCAGTACAGGTGTGTGGAGTCAGGTGTAATAAACAGGTGACGCAGTACAGGTGTGATGAGTCAGGTGTAACAAAACAGGTGACGCAATACAGGTGTGTTGAGTCAGGTGTAACAAACAGGTGACGCAGTACAAGTGTGATGAGTCACGTGTAATAAACAGGTGACTCAGTACAGGTGTGATGAGTCAAGTGTAATAAACGGAACAACAGTATAGGTGCACCAGATACTTGAAGTTAGGTTTGTAGGTCACTTCACACCTGTAAATTTAACTCAGGTGTGTGTGTGTGTGTATTCAGGAGACATTAAGAGCGTCTATGGAACAAAAAATCACCTTCTATCCATCTATCCAATCCCACCCATCTATCTATCCCTTCTTTTCCTTGTTATCATTTTTATCATATTTTGTCTTCTCCTGCAGGCGTGTATGGCGTGGAGGGCGTGGGGAGGAGTGTGGTGGTGGCTGTGTGCGCACCTTCAGAGGACCGCCGGGCCAGCACCGACTCTAACAGGTCTGCCACGCCCTCCCAGGTACAGGTAACCCACGCCCTTCCAGGTACAGGTAACCCACACCTTCCCAGGTACAGGTAACCCACACCCTCCCAGGTACAGGTAACCCACTCCCTTCCAGGTACAGGTAACCCACACCTTCCCAGGTACAGGTATCCCACACACCCCCAGGTACAGGTAACCCACGCCCTTCCAGGTACAGGTAACCCACACCTTCCCAGGTACAGGTAACCCACACCCTCCCAGGTACAGGTAACCCACTCCCTTCCAGGTACAGGTAACCCACACCTTCCCAGGTACAGGTATCCCACACACCCCCAGGTACAGGTAACCCACACCCAGCATGGATACAGTCGGGAATACAACATAGACTAAATGTTCATCCCATATCAATACCTTACAGTATACGATAACTTTGTGAATCTAGACGATGTCCATGTTTACACTCCCTTAAATAATGTGTATTATTCTGTAACGTAAACATATTGTAGTCTTTAACTGTGCACTTATGCTTCAGTAATTAAAGTGTTGCAGTTGAAGTGGTGTGCGTGTGTGTGCGCGCGCAGGTGTTTGTGCAGGTGTGAATTCATAAACAACCCCCCATTACAGGTGTGTAGCTGTGAATTCATAAACAACCCCGCATTACAGGTGTGTGTGTGTGTGTGCAGGTGTGTGAACTCATAAACAACCCCTCATTACAGGTGTGTGTGTGTGTGTGCGTGTGCGTGTGTGCAGGTGTGTGTGAATTCATAAACAACCCCTCATTACAGGTGTGTGTGTGTGTGCAGGTGTTTATGCAGGTGTGAACTCATAAACAACCCCTCATTACAGGTGTGTGTGCAGGTAGGTACACGATGGGACAGGTATGTACCCTTACAGGAGCAGCAGGACTCAAGGACGCACTCCTTCACACGCCCCAGGTCACCATCCTCAAACTCCTGCCCAAATCTCTCCGTATGGCCTCTCATAAACTGCCTGGTTAGTACCTTTGTAGGATGTCTCGTAGGATGTGTCTGTCTTGTAGGATGACCCAAGTGTTTCTAGGATGTGTTAGGGCATTGTAGAATATGTCAGGGTCGTGTAGGATGTGTCAGGGTCTTGTAGTATGTGTCAGGGTCTTGTAGGATGAGTTTGGGTCTTGTAGTATGTGTCAGGGTCTTGTAGGATGAGTTTGGGTCTTGTAGGATGTGTTATGGTCTTGTAGGATGTGTCAGGGTCTTGTAGGATGTGTTATGGTCTTGTAGGATGTTTTATGGTCTTGTAGGATGTGTTATGGTCTCGTAGTATGTGTCAGGGTCTTGTAGGATGCGTTAGGGTCTTGTAGTATGTGTCAGGGTCTTGTAGGATGCGTTAGGGTCTTGAAGGATGTGCCTTATTACTACAAATTTTTCCTACTATTAATTCTACCACTACAACCACTGCTCCTCCCAGCACTACAACCACTACTACAACCACTACTCCTCCCACCACTACAACCACCACTACAACCACTACTACAACCACTACTACAACCACTACTACAACCACTACTACAACCACCACTACAACCACCACTACAACCACTACTCCTCCCAGCACTACAACCACTACTACAACCACTACTCCTCCCACCACTACAACCACCACTACAACCACTACTACAACCACCACTACAACCACCACTACAACCACTACTACAACCACTACTCCTCCCACCATTACAAATCCACCACTACAACCACTACTACAACCACTACTCCTCCCAGCACTACAACCACTACTACAACCACTACTCCTCCCAGCACTACAACCACTACTACAACCACTACCCTCCCACCACTACAACCACCACTACAACCACTACTACAACCACCACTACAACCACTACTACAACCACTACTACAACCACTACTCATAACCACTACTACAATCCACCACTCACTACACTACTACAACCACCACTACTACTACTACAACCACTACTACAACCACCACTACAACCACTACTCCTCCCACCACTACAACCACTACTACAATCACTACTACTCCCACCACTACAACCACTACTACAACCACTACTTACACTACAACCACTACTACAACCACCTACAACCACCACTACAACCACCACTACAACCACTACTACAATCACCACTACAACCACTACTACAATCACCACTACAACCACTACTACAACCACTACTACAATCACCACTACAACCACTACTACAATCACCACTACAACCACTACTACAATCACCACTACAACCACTACTACAATCACCACTACAACCACTACTACAATCACCACTACAACCACTACTACAACCACCACTACTACTACTACAACCACCACTACAACCACTACACATCACCACACCACTACTAAATCACCACTACAACCACTACTACAACCACCACTACAACCACTACTACACAACCACCACTACAACCACTACTACAACCACCACCACCAACCCACTACTACAACCACCACTACCACCACTACAAACCACTACTCCTCCCACCACTAGCAACCACTACTACAACCCCACCACTACACCCACTACTACAACCACCACTACAACCACTACTACAACCACCACTACCACCACTACTCCCACCACTACACCCACTACTTCTGCCACCACTACAACCACTACTCCTCCCACCACTACAACCACTACTCCTCCCACCACTATAACCACTACTCCTCCCACCACTACCACCACTATT